CCATAAACATCCCATAAATATCCCATAAACATCCCATAAATATCCCATAAACATCCCATAAACATCCCATAAACATCCCATAAATATCCCATAAATATCCCATAAATATCCCATAAATATCAAGCTTGATATCCCATAAATATCCCATAAACATCCCATAAATATCCCATAAATATCCCGTAAATATCAAGCTTGACATCCCATAAATATCCCATAAACATCCCATAAATATCCCATAAATATCAAGCTTGACATCCCATAAATATCCCATAAATATACCATAAATATCAAGCTTGACATCCCATAAATATCCCATAAATATCCCATAAATATCAAGCTTGACATCCCATAAATATCCCATAAATATCCCATAAACATCCCATAAATATCCCATAAACATCCCATAAATATCCCATAAACATCCTATAAATATCCCATAAATATCCCATAAACATCCCATAAATATCCCATAAACATCCCATAAATATCCCATAAACATCCCATAAATATCCCATAAATATCCCATAAACATCCCATAAATATCCCATAAACATCCCATAAATATCCCATAAATATCCCATAAATATCCCATAAATATCCCATAAATATCCCATAAATATCCCATAAAAATCCCATAAACATCCCATAAATATCCCATAAACATCCTATAAATATCCCATAAATATCCCATAAACATCCCATAAATATCCCATAAACATCCCATAAATATCCCATAAACATCCCATAAATATCCCATAAATATCCCATAAACATCCCATAAATATCCCATAAACATCCCATAAATATCCCATAAACATCCCATAAATATCCCATAAACATCCCATAAACATCCCATAAATATCCCATAAACATCCCATAAATATCCCATAAACATCCCATAAATATCCCATAAACATCCCATAAATATCCCATAAATATCCCATAAACATCCCATAAATATCCCATAAACATCCCATAAATATCCCATAAACATCCCATAAATATCCCATAATATCCCATATATCCCATAAACATCCCATAAATATCCCATAAATATCCCATAAATATAAACATCCCATAAATCCCATAAATATCCCATAAACATCCCATAAATATCCCATAAATAAATCCCATAAATATCCCATAAATATCCCATAATCCCATATCCCATAAATATCCCATAAACATCCCATAAATATCCCATAAATATCCCATAAATATCAAGCTTGACATCCCATAAATATCCCATATTCCATGGATATCCATTGGATATCCCATAAATACCACGGAACTTGCCTCGACCATGGGCCTTGGAGATGACCGAGGCCCGCGGCCGGCTTTGATGAGACCCGCTTGATGGCGGATGCCCGCTACAAGCTCTCCGCAGCTTTACAGGTGACCGTAACGTACCCTCTGGTAAACTAACATAACTATGGAAAATCACTATTTTTAATGGGAAAATCCACTATAAATGGTCATTTTCAATAGCTACGTTAAATTACCAGAGGGTAACGGGGGGCTTTCGGGAAGGGGGATACCGGGATACCTGCGATTTGCCACCAGATCTTTGTTCGGATTTGCGGGGTATCAAAATGGTATCTTAAAATAATGATGCTTAAATAACAATCTGATGCAATCTGAATGGGTAAATTTTCGTGTGATTGTCTTGGAAGATTTTCCAGATAGCATGTTGGTTTTTGGGATTTGTTTACATTATGTTTAGTCTCTGTTTATTGCTGGTGTCTTTTCTGTGACGCTCCTGGGGGAATTTCCCGGGGAATTTTAGTTTCGGGATTCGCTGTTGATGTTGGCTCGCAGAGCATTCTCGCTGCAAATTATATTGACGTTGAAGGCCAGAGAACATGTGGGAGCACTTTGAAAAAAAAACAAACTTTTGACAATGGATGCTATCTATAGTATTCTATAGTTTCTTTTTGTTTTCTGCGCAGTCTAAGAACCTTCCTTCAGAATGGTTCAGGCACTACCCATTCCTGGACTCCAAACTTCGCTCGGGATGAAAAGAACGTAGTGAGAATGGACTATGCTTCCAAGAGCCTTTTATTATCTTTTTTTGGCTGGCCATGTCAATGAATCCGGCCCATAGGGAAGCTGAAGAACATGTGGACAGAACAGAACACTAACAATCTGATTGCCAATCAGCGATGAGTAGCTACCTGAAAACAAAGTTGGTTCTTAGAAGAATTCGATACGCAATGATCAGTGATCATAACCCATAGGATCCATGTATGCTATATATGGTAACATTTACAATCAATATACCCCCAATGTTAGCATATATACCATACATGGATCCTATGGGTAATGAATGTATGTAAATGTATTCGTTTGGACGTTCATCAGGCTTACGAAAATCATGGGGATTCTCCATGCAGGATCATCCCATGAATTAGCTAGGTAACCATATATAGTTATAACTTATAAGCCTATGACTAATACGGTAATTATATATATATATATAACCCCATCACAAAGCCCATTACTATGGCTATAACATGGTATACCCATGTATGACCCCAGTATAACCCCATGATTATCCCATATAGTAACCATAACAACCAAATCGGGCCGAGAGTGCCTCGGTCCAGGCGGCCGGACTCTACGGGACCAAAGCGGGCCAAGAGGCGGGCAGATGAAGCGGGCCTTTAGGGCAGGGAGATGTTTATACCTATGGGAAAATCACCGAAATAACCTATGATTGATTCATCATCTATGGGATATCAATCGATTATAATCTATTCATGAGAAGATCTAGTAGTAAATGGAAGATCATGAATTAAAATTGGGATCATTGATATGGAATATTCATGGATATTCATGTGATATTAAGCATCAACAATGGAAAATACAATGGGGAAGATAAGTATTACCGTGATCATGTCCATAGCTAATGGACATCACTGAACTCAATGGAGGTTTATAGCTGGGAAATAGCAGCAAGTCATAGTTGATTGCCGGAGGGTATGTGCCATCCATCCCCTATGTCAAACAGATTATAGATTGGATTTCATTGGCATGTTTTTTTGTTTTTATGGGATATCCATGGATATCCTGAATAAAGTACCGAAACATTCTCATGGTTTTCTAGTGGATATGAATGGCCAATTCATGTTATCATATTATCATCATTGGCAAGCCGAGGATTTTTACTATAAGTACTGTAGGATTTTATCATCTATGTTATTATCATCTTTTAATGGATTTATGGCATTTTATGGCACATCATGGGGGTATTACTGTACCAATGATGATAGGATTAGCATCGCCCCCAACATAGACCCGGCCCGGCGAGTTTCAATGAAATTCCAAGTCAGTCCGCTCAACAAATCTCGAAGAATGGTATAGTAGATTTTCCCATTTTAACTATACTTATGTAATTGATATAACATAAACAACAACTATATAGACATCTATAAAACATTAAGACAACTTATAGTTAACATTAACAACAACTATAGACATCTATATATTATTATCATTATCATTATCATTATTATTGTTATTATTGTTTTTGTTATTATATATATATAGCTAACTAATCAAACAACTGGCAATATTAAAACAATAGTGGGCTCAACTGGGAACAGTGGCCAGGCCTTGGCTCGAGTAGCTGCACCAAAGCCAGCGCAGCCTCACCTGGTGTCGCAGGCGGAGCACCATGGGAACATAAGGTCCCAGGTGGAGGATCAGAAGTTTGGTTTTGGATGGATTGTTCAATAAATGTTGGTGGATTTTTGATGGATTTATTGCTGGATTTTCTGATGGATTGTTTGATGGTTTTTTTGATGAAATGATTGTTGGATTGATGGATTTATGGATGGATTTTTGATGGATGTTGGATGGATTGCTCAATATATTTCAACGGATTTATTGATGATATTGATTCATGGACTTGGCATGATATTAAGATATAAACAAGTTTGATTGATTGGTCTAGAATGACCTGGTCGTCAGTTCGGATCCAGATTCTGGGCCAGGGTGATGGTGCTCACTTTCAGATGCAACTGCTGGTGGCTGTTGACTGTCCTTTCATGATTAGGTTCCACAAGTCTGGCGGTTCAACTGATATACACTATTTCACCTGGTCCTTCGTGAGAATTAGATACATAACACATATGTATATATATATATGATCTCCCAGAGTCCCTTTTGCTAAAGTTTGCTCCTTCCTCTTGACTTGTTTCAGGTTTTCAGTGGCAACTTCGGATATCCCAACGCTTAGCCGAATGCAGTGGGTGAATGGGCCCCTTGCAATCCATGTACAAAGCCCAGCCAGCATCTCTGCATGGCTTTGCCAAAAGAGCAAAGGGGACCAAGATTTTCTAGAGGATTAGAGTTGAAAGCCGTTGGGAAACGTGTGGTTTACCATTTTAGTTTAGCCATGAACTTGGTCTCTTGCAGAGGCGTTTTCAGTCGAGCACAATGCGCGTTGCCACAGGAGGTCAAAAGAACAATTCAGTGCCCACATGCAACTCTTTTGCAAAGATCTTGCTGTTTGCATCCCGAAGATACTGTATATGTGAGTGTTTGAAATAGGGTATATCATAAAACATATCCGCAAGACATGGCTATTTTTTGTTTTTGTTTTTTTTACAGTGGGAATTGATGATGATTCAACCAATGAATCCACGGATTGTGTTCAGCGAGCAGAATTTAATGTTAACTAAGAGAAATGTACAGCAACGGTGTGGATTGTTTTAGGCTCACATAGCAACACATAAGCTAGACACCCGGTCAGAATACCATCAATGTCACCTTCTAAGTTCCCTCCTGTGTACAGTAACTGCATCCAACGTACAACAGACATGTATCCAAGTATATCCAAGTCTGTGTTTCTATGTTTTTCTTGAAGCACTGCACGGCTGCTGAATCACTGACCATATGTTACCCATTAAACGGAGAAGAGAAAACAAAGCCTTTATCTACTCTGAATGCACATCATGTCTCAAAAGTCATTGCGTTCGTAGCTAGCTACTTTCACAATGGTGAGGACCCCTGAGGACCCGCTTTGCCATCAAATGACTGGTTGGAATGATGATGGCAGCTGAAGGAAATTGGATGAAATTGGGATGGTCAACAAGCGAAAGTATGCGCAGTAGAGTGTGAAGCTTTGATGTACAGCATAGGGGAAAACTATGGAAAACTATGGGCAATGTTTGTTGGACATTTAGACACGGATAGTGGTGTGTCAGGTCACCTATCAACAAATTCTTTAAGCCGTTTTTCGTATGCTAGAACTGACATTAGTGTCGAGTAATAACATTGTAGGCCTGGGTTAAATATTGTCGCTAAATGGGAACCGCAAATCTGTGTTTTCTTGAGTGCTGCATGTAAATCATTACAACATTTTGGGATTTCGCAAATAAGTTGATCCAAACATGTGGGGCCGGGGTTGTTTGAAAATGAGGTTGCCCCCAGTTATGGCCATTTGAATAGTGGAAATAAATGAAAATATTGATACTCCATCAATCTCCATCATATTAGTGGTGCTGTTCTGTTCTGTGTTTGTATGTTTTCTATGTTATTGTTTTTCTCATGTGGGTTTGTCTGAAAATAGGGTATATTCCCAATTATAGCCATTGAATAGGGATAATGATCAGCAAAACCATTGGGTTTAGGGGTACACTATTTTCAGACACACCCATGTTTTTTGTTCCTTAAATTTTCCGGTACCCATGTTTTTTTTAAAAACCCAGGACGAAGAGTTTGAAGAAGCCGATGGGATTTTGTCCGAGCTTCGAAGGAAGGCTGAGACAGGTCAGCCGGTGGGTAGCCATCTTTCCCACTTATTTATTGAGATGTAGCAGAATATTTCCAGATCATATATGTTATATTGATAAACAATAAATATCTATCTATCTATCTATCTATCTATCCATCCATCTATCTATCCATCCATCCATCGATGTATCTATCTAACGTATTATTTCACTATATAATATATACACATAAACTTTGTACAATTTATATATATATGGTATATATATATAATTTATATGGGTTATGAATAACTCACTAGCAGGGATGCACCCCACTAAGTGTGTGTATTGATGGCAGGTGACAGCGATCTTCCATGGGGCGATTGCTTGGAAAGGCCGGACGGTGGACCCCGGGCCATCCGCCACCACGGACGTGAATGGGATGGTGAAAAGGGTGGTACCCTGGAGTTAGGTTGGTTGGTTTCTATGGGATATATATATATATATATATGTATATATATATATATATACATATGTATATATATATAATGTAATATATAATATATATATGGGAAATAAATGGGATATATAATATATGGCATGTATGTGGTTTGTAACCCCCAATGTATGTGCTTTGTAACCCCCAAAATCAACCCTAGTTAAAGGGCACCATCCTGTGATTGTAGGATATGTTCAGCCAAGATTTGTCCGAGAGATTTTGGATGAGTTTGCCAACATGTTGCCCTTTGGTAACTTCACATAGCTCCCGAACATCAACATGTTTTAGACATAGGTAAATCATGGATCTAGTAAGTAAATATGGTCATGTTCAATAGCCCATGTTCCTGTGAATCATCAAGATTTCCTATGATTTACCATGTTAGTCTATTGATAGCCAATTGTTTCAATTATGTATGGGGGGGTCCATGTGATTTCCTCGTACATCATTTGCGCCGCATGACTCGACAGGTCCTGGCATGATGGCACCTTGCGGGTGACGCGCTCGTGCCCCGGTGGACCATCGAAGCTGGGGAAATCAGGGGTGTATACCCTCCGGTAAACTAACATAGCTATTGAAAATGGCCATAGAAATAGTGGATGTTCCCATTAAAAATGGTGATTTTCCATAGCTATGTTAGTTTACCAGAGGGTACCTAAGAATCGCCGGTAGTTGGTGGTTGATCAATGTTGATCAGATCTTCTATATGTTTCATCCTAACTGGGATGATTATTCCGGTGAAGGTTTTTTTGTTGTCTGATTTCGTTTCAAGGACCAACCAGAGACGTACCTTTTACGTTCCAAAAATTGAAGCAGCCAGAGACTGTGGATACTTTCCCAATCAACTTTCCAGTGACGTGACGTGGTTCCATCCTGGGTGTTCCTTTTCTATAGGTATGCGAGCAGCTCTGCTGCAGTGCCGGAGGTAGTGATTCAGGACTGGGAAGGGATGGAAGGGGTGGAAGGGGTGGAAGGAAGGCGTTGCTGCCTCCAGGAGTTCCCGTACTCAGCGCATCCATGCTCCGGTGTTGGGGGCACAGGTGCGTCAGATCCAATCAATGGTTGGACGGCGGTTAGATGATGTTGGATGATGTTGGATGATGTTGGATGGAAAATTAAGCTGCTTTCACAGCATGTTTGCTGAAGTGAGGAAATCCACGCACAGCGTCGGAAGGCATGATGAAAGGTTGGCCCTCACTGCAAGCCAAAGACTGATGTACAGTAGATTCAGTAGATGCTATTATAATCTATTATAACATAATTATTATAACATAGTTATAATCTATTATAGTCATATCTATTATATAATCATAGTATAGCTCAAGACTCAAGCTGGCACCTTTTCTCCTTTCGGATGGGATGTTCCCAGGTGGTCTGGTCTGGCGCGGCGCCCTGGCGTTGGCTGAGTTCCTGGGGGAGCAACATGAGTTGTTGGCCAACGCCCAGGTCGCCAAGGGGCCCGAGGTGCTGGCTTTTTGAGGGCATAGCAACAAAAATTCTGGTGAAACGGAATTTAAATTGATCATATTTTGTGGTTACTTGGAACTTAACAGTGATACTAAGTAGGGTTAATGAGGATTTCACCTCCAATTTGACCGTTTGCGATGGAAACTCGTCATGTTTCAATATGTACATCATCTACAAAAGGGGCCATTAGATGTCATGAGCATCAATTTTTCTTGGAGTTTCTGTAAAGAATTACCGGAAGTTTCTGTTGGGAATTTGCTCCAAAAATGTCTCGTTCAGGTTTGTGAATCATTATTTTTCTTGGAACGAAAAGCTATGAATCGGAGGGTAATCATCCCCAAATTGGGTATAACTAATATTAATTAATGTATATTGAATGGGATATATTTAAGGATGAATTGAGGTTAAGTGTCAGGGGAATCATCCCAAAATGACCTTATTTCATCGTATTTCATGGTGTATGTGTGATTATGTGTGATTATTTCTGTAATCTATCAATACATATATATATATATATGTTAACTAACTGGATTGAATTAGTGTTTTGAGAGTTTGGGAATTAAATAATTCATTGGGTTCCTAAGATCGGGGGACCTCAAGTTATCCACGTTATTGATGATGTTTGATGACCATGGGGCTATTTGGTTTCCTGAACATTGGGAATTTACCAAGTGGCTGAGAACTGGAGTGAAACAATTGGTAAGTTATATGGTTTGTGGTGTGTCCTGTTTTTTGATTTTAGAATTTATTTTTATTTTTTAACCAGATGCATAGAACAATCACGAACCATCATGAACCATTGTATTTGGGGTATGTCCTGTTTTTTTGACGAACCAGCATCGCGATGGCTCTGGATTTCTTAGGCACTCTGAAAAGGACATTTGAACTTGAAGAAAACATAAGCTCACACGAACCTGACAAGTAGATTTTTGAAATTGAAATCGACCATCCTTGTGGCCTTGGGGCATGTGAGGCCAGATCCTGGCCAGAGCAACCCTGTCAGCCGATAGGTCGAAGAAAAGAGTGAAAGATGGATATGTCTGAAACAAAACCTGAAACTAGGCTACCCGAAAATCCCCAATATGGTTCATTTTCTAAACAGAAAACTATATGAATCTCGTTGTTTTGAATGTATCGGTATCTTGGTACCCTCCATTTTCAGAGAAACCCAGATCAGACTGTCCTTGATGCCAGGTGATTGTGGAGATTGGCGCTGGCTGCGGCCTTGTGGGGAGGCCCAACAGGAAACCTTTGTCACCATCACCAGTCATGTTGGAATTCACGCAACCTATATAATCGTTTCTTTCTAATCTGTTCTACATGTTTCTACTGTAGGATTTCCAATTTTTTAGTCCCGTGAAATCCCCATTGAAATCCCATTGCAACCCCCATTGAAATCCCATGAACTCCCCAGAATTCCCAGATTCGATGCCACTAAGCCTGGGCTGGCCGCAGCGGCACAGCTGGCGGCGCAGCATTCGCCAGGTGGGGTGTACAACCGTTTTTAATTGGTACCTGGGAGGGTCTCGGTAGAATCGTGGTTTGATGTGTTTTTTGGTCAAAGCATTGAGTAGCTAGAAAGCAAGAAGAGGACGGATGATGCAAAAGGTGATTTTTTGGGGCGCCAAAGGTCTTGATCTGACCGTAACATCTCGAAATTCCCAACAAAGAAAGGATAATTATAATTGAACCTTGCTAGCATGTGGGCCATGTATCAAGAGCATCCGGTGTTGTTATGCTCTGCAACAGGTGTCAAGCAGGTGATCCTCACCGACGGACCAGAGGTGTTCTGGGTCATTGGGACAGTTGGTTGGTTGAAGTGTCAAGCATAGCAGAGTTGCACTCGACTTTTTGCGCTGGCAGTTGCAGGTGACTCTTAGCTTTGACTTCTTGGGTTGCTGACCAGGGCTCAAGTTCTGATTTGAGCTCCCAAGTTAAACATCTTTTCGTTGAAGATGTTTGACCAGTTAGCCTATCACCCCCACGAAATTGGATGGTTTACTGTAAGTCTTCTGCACCATTCCAAAAGAATCAGCATTTTGTGGCTTCAAACCGCTACCCCAACGACATGAGCCACACCTACCAGTTGCGCCCCGGGGTGATTTTCAGCCACTGCGAGCCGCGGATGAAAACCACATGGCATGTTTTTGCGCGACGCTTCAATCGTTTTCTGGCGCTGTTCCTAAGCAGCACTTGACAGCTGGGTTTTTCCAGTGGGATTTACCCTGATTTACTCAATGAACCATCAAATATTGGGAAGGAGTGGCGATGAAACACTGGACCACTGGGTTTAAACTCATGGTAAACCCCCATGGTTTTCCCATCGACAAAGTCTGATCTCTGCCATTCGCAACACGCCCAGGCAGCCATTTAGAAAGAGATGGAGCCTACCATGCAGAGGAGCCAGCTATGGCTTCGTCTGACAATACATCCCTAAAATCGCCTAAACCCAGGGGTTAATCATCATTTTATGGTACAATGTTTAGTTCCATACAGTGCTATACACATGTATACACATGATTACCCATGTGCTTTTGTTGAACCCATCTTTGGGGATTAATATACCTTATACACACTTTTGTCTGGGATATACCCAATGATATACATCCCTTCAATGCAGCGCGAGGACTGCAAACGGTGAGCGCCAACCGTCTCGAGGATTGCAAACTCAAGTTCTGTTTGGAACAGGAGACGGGTCAGAACTGGACCACAGATCATCAAAGACCTAGAACAAATATGAAAAACAGACACAACCACAGCTTCTTCGTGGCATTTCTGATATGAACATATATGATCCTGCGCAATGTTGCCGAACTTCTTTTTTTACAGAATTCTACACACTGACGTTGTACCGAGCCATACAAAGCCGCAGAGTTCTGCTTTGGACGCCCGAAGGAGACCGCAGCTTTGGCGCGATCCGAAGGTGCCGGGCTTACTATGGCTGGCACAAGTAATCCACCAACATTCTGTCGCAAGGTGCACACCGTGTTTATGCATTTTGTTTCATAGTCAAACGCAATGTTAAACAATATTCTTCCATCATCTGAAATTCTAGAGGTTTGTATTTTGTATATGTGTGTATTGCATAGCATAATATGTTTCTTTCTCTTGCCTTTTATGTATATTTATACTTTCACCGTGCAGTCCCGAGTCCCGACTCTGATTTCTGAGGACCACTGGCAATGTTCAATGCCTTGATCGAGAAGGGGCAGTTGCAGGATGACCCGGAGCAAAGGACTCACCATTTGTGAGATGAATGGTGCATAATAGTTATTTTTTTAAGCTAGAGCACCACCCAAAAGATAGAACAGTAGTTCATCATAGTTCATCATAGTTCATCATAGTTCATCACTATTGTTGGTAGGGCTTTGCTTTTCTATCTTGGAGGTTGCGATGTGGATCAATGGACTCTTGAGGAGGGTGATGGAAATCTTAAACGCGATCCACTTTGGCGCTCCAAAGCGAACGTCGAGAGGATTGTACCTGCAGCTCAGCAGGGATCAGTTCAGTGGTATTGTAGATATATACATGAGTGTCAAAACATACCGGGCTTGGGTTTCGAGGTACGGAAGCGTTGGCTGTGGAAAGACTATGTCAATGGACATTTTCTTCTCCGCATTGAAGAGCCACCCAACGTTGCGCGTTCAGAGGCCGGTCCAAGTGTTCAATGGGCGCTGCGCAACAAACAGATTACCTGTAAGACCTGGTCAATTGTTGAGGTGCCCCTTGGGACACGATCATGCTTACAACTGTGGCCAAAAACCATGTCGCTACTTCAGCAGGATTTGTTCAGATTTGGGATGGGTTGCCAAAAACGCCCTAGACATTTGTATTATATAATATGAAAAAAATGATATACAATACCCATAGGATCCATGTATGCTATATATGGTCACATTTATCATCAATATACCCCCAATGTTAGCATATATACCATACATGGATCCTATGGGATATAAGTAAGTATGAATTTGTATTCACCACTTACATCCACTTGAAACGGACTGGCGCCATTGGTCCCACTGAGGAAACATTTCCACGAGTTCCTCTACGAAGTCCAGCGCTTGCTGCACCAGATCAAGGCGGAGGACCAGCAGGGCGTTCCCACGGGCCTCGGGGTCCAACGCGCCGGCGAGCGCATCGCCGGACAAGTGGATGTGACGCTCGGAAAAAGGGTGCGTTTTACCATGGTTTTACCATGACCAATGGGGATTTCACATGATTTAGCCAGAAATAATGGAGATGTTTCACCATCAAACTTGGGGTTCACATGGTTATACATGGTCTATAACCATCTTAAGATGAAGATCTATATACATGATATTGAATACCACCGCTACGGACCCCCGAGTAATGAATTGTAGAACAAATACTCAAGCATTGTCTAGCATTGGGTTGGTATTTATAGAATTTTATTTGTGGAAGGGATTTATGAAATCCTGGCCTTGTTCTCTATGATGGTAATCCATCGTAATCCATCGTAATCCTCGTATTGCTTTCACTAAACTGGCTTTCTAAATTGGTGTTGTTTCGACATGTTTTGCTTATTCACAGCATGTATATTGTGCCAAAGCCATTTTCACAAAGTTGGACTGTGTTTGCCACCTCAGTCCCCATCTCTCCCTGACTGCACTGAGGTTGTGCTTTGATGAGTTTGCACGGGGCTCAGATATGTTTGATTAGAGGCAGTTGGTCCAGTCAGGCGTAGCAAGCCTGATGCGAGGCTGTTACTACCATCCAGGACGGGATCTGATCCCAGCCTTCTGAAGATTGCAGAAGTTTTTTTTCTGCAGAGGCACTGCTGTAATTCTACTCTGAGAAACTTGGTTTGACAGTTGAGATGGTTGCATTTGATCCCGCCATAGGATTGCTGCATTTTGCTGCCCTTATTCAATGCTCTTTTTAGGCGCGCTGGGTCGTTGGGTCGTTTTTCGTCATGGTCTCCTTGGAGCTGGCGTTCGATGTCGCCAGTGGCGTCATATTTCCACCACGGTCAGGTCTGGTGTGACGGTCATTGCCACCTCCAATCGATGTCCTGAAGATCTCTATAGCGATGGCCTCAACCGACAGGTCTATCTTCCACCCTTTCTGGAGCTATTACGACGGAATTGCAAGGTGCTTCACATGCAGAAACTTGGAGTGTAGAAACATTTTTGTGTATCTTAGGTTTACAACATTTTACAACCAAGCTACCTTCACTTTGTCACTTTTTTTTTGTTATCTCTTTTGGAGGGCATGAATTCGCTCTTGAAAGCTTTCAGCCGAGGAACAAGACGGACTACCGTGCATTGCAGTTCGAGAAAAGCCCTGATGCAGGCGTCCACACGGATGATGCTGATATGAGGGTGACACCATTCGAGCCCTTCCAAGGTAAATCTGGGAAAATAGTTGAACAGCTGAAAAAGATGATGCTTCTTTGTTTGTACTCAGGCAGACTCAGAATTAAGTTCCCACTTCAAGTCTGAAAAAAATCTGATGAACAAGTAGTTGAGATTGGCTTAGACTAGCTTAGATTGGCTTAGAGCCTGGATTGGCTTAGATAGCTTATACCTTAGATTTCCTTGGGTTGGCTTAGAGTTAGCTTATAGCTTAGATTGGATTTGATTGGCTTAGATTAGCTTATAACTGAGATCGGCTTTGATTGGCTTAGATTAGCTTAGAGCTTAGATTGGCTTAGATCGGCTTAGATTAGCTTTGAAGTTATATCACGGAGGATGATCATCTCACTATATAATATACACACGATATTATATAACTTATCACCAACTTCTCCAAATTCCAACGCCAGGCGTTTTCTGCTGGCCCCCCGAAGCCGCCTTCGTGGATGGCTGGTTCAAGCGGATCGCTGGATGCGGCACTGCTGGCCGGGTGGAGGTGCTCAAAAAAAGAAAAGTTGATTTCCCCGTTTCTTTTAAGATTTGATATGTTTTTTGGCTCAGATTAGTAGGATTTAGAGATTAAAACTATGATAAAACTATATGAATTGGGGGGTTGTTCATCCGGGGTTGATCTTATCTACAAAGAACCCTGAGTTGTTGGTTGGTTAAAGCTGCCAACAGGTTGCCTACAGCAGAACACTGGCAGTGCCAGTGATCTCGAGTTGCGGAGGCACCGGGCCGACTGTTCGTCGATAGAAAGTCTGAAGTTAGACAGTCAGCTTTTAAGTGCTGCTTCAAGCAAGGTGGTTACAGCATCTTAAGGTGAAAGAAGAAAACTCAATTCATGATTATTTTTCCTACTTGATATTCTATAGTCACAGAAGTTTGCGGAGTTCTGAGCTGCAGTTGATTCAGTGCATCACAACTACATCCTGGTGAAGCTTCCCGCTTGTCCAACTTCGCCAGGTGTTGCCAGGTTTGCTTTCAGTGATTTGTGTGAACAGCACCTCGCAGCAGATGACTACAATGCCATTTGCAGCAGCTCGGCTGACTCCCAAACTGGATCATTTGACCAACGGAGAGCACCACTGGGTATATACTTCTATTTGAGCAACAGCCAAAATTTGCCACGGTCAAATCATAGGCTTTATATTCCCATACAAGGGGATGTTCATCAATCTATTACGAATTATATATATATATTGGGATTTGTACTCCCATGGAATGGGATGGATGACTGTTTTTGCCATTCATATCCATAAAAACCCCATCTAACTTGACCAAGGCAAGTTTCATACCATCCTCGTGGATGATATCCCAAAGCTGACGGTTGACCGGCACAATGAGGTTGGCACGGAAGAGACTGGTTTTTTGGATGAGAAATCAACAACATTCTCCATTGCACTGTTCGAAAGAATCTTCGATCCATTGATATTTGCATTGCTCTTGGTTTTGGGTTTCTCTTTGATTCGCAACTTCCTTGGTTTTGTGGATCAGTGATGCTGTTTGCCATCACTAACCCATCATCCAACCTTGCTCTAGAACGCCAGAGCCCTCACAGGCCCGGCGCTTGACGCTATTGATCGATTGTTGCTACGAGCACCACGTGCGTCTCATTGCCAGTACCTTGGCAGTAGGGGTGCGCAGATAGCTCTGTGATCTGGGTTTGGTACCTGAAAATGGAAGCAAAACATGCCAATGTCATCCAGATTTGATGGATGATCATCATGTTCCCCATCAAAATTACCATAAAAGATATAAAAGGGGGTGGTCGAAATTCCATTCGAAGACAGACTCACGTGTTGGGGATGAGATGAATGTCAGTGTGATGGAACTGTCAGGCATGGATGGGCCACCGGAAGAAATCCTCGGTGGCTTTGCTGAAGTAGTTGCAAGAAGTTCCTCTGATCTTTGACCACTTGTTTTAAGCGCAGATTCTTCATGGCTTCGACATCTGAAAATTGGGTATACCGTATACCTCAAAATCCCATGGATAATCCATGATAATTCTCATTTTCCCCATGAACATTGCCTTTTTGATGGGTGGATCATTGGCCCATGGAGAACCTCCCAGGTGGTTTGACGGAGCTCCAGAACATCAGCATGTCCTCTCTGAAGGGCGAAGCTGGCTGCGGGGACAGCGACTCAGCAGCTTCCTCCAGTGGCGTCTTGAGCGCCATCTCCAGGATCAAGACCAGTGGCTCGACCAGCGCAGCATCACACCAGGGAGGGCCCTTGGGGTACTGCAATGCAACACAACGGTTGTGGCGTGGCTGTTGAAGTGCTGGTGACCTGGTGGCTGTGGATGTTTTTTTTCATGTTGGAAGTGGTACATCTCTGGAAGGTTTGGTTTGCCAAGGCATCAAAGAGCGTTCGGATGCTGGCCACATCGCTGCGGACGCAGCCACCCTGCACTTTGGCAATGTGGCGGGTGGTATCTCTTGGTTTCAACTTGGCTTTGTCCAACGATTGACTCCAAAATTGAGTGGTTAATCAATATCTTAATAGCTATTAGATGCTATTAGATATTATTGATATATATATATATATTATATATATATTAATATGTTCCATGGTAAGTCCGGATAGATTTACCATCAATACCCGGGTTATGTTGATTATAGTGGTGAACCATAAATATGTTCCATTAATAATTAAACCGGCCATTTAGTGAGGGGAGACCCACTCATTCCGAGGCTCTCCAGTGAAGGCATGAGAACCGACACCGTGTTGCAAGCTGAGATCCAACGTGCCAGGCAGCGATGTTTCTGAGCAATTCCTGGGAATCCATGGTTTTCTCCGGGAATATGACACATGGTGGATGTCCCATCTTTTTCCATGTCAAAATAAAGTATGACAGCGCCTTGTTTTTTTTGTTGGCTGCCCGGTGGTGCCCCCACGTGCGTTGCACAGGTCGCACGGCGGGGATATCTCCATTTGGCGGCAGGAAGGTGAGGGTAGCGGCCAAAGCGCTCTTCCTCAAGTCTCCAAAGGCGCGGCTCTGACTTCCTGTCGGAATGGCTGCCATTGGAACACCATTGTTGTTTGGTTGGTTGGTTGGTTGGTTGGTTGGTTGTTTGGTTGGTTGGTTGGTTGGTTGTTTGGTTCGTTGTTCGGTTGTTCGGTTGTTGCTTGGTTGCTTGGTTGGTTGGTTGCTTGGTTGGTTGGTTGTTTGGTTGGTTGTTCGGTTGTTCGGTTGTTGCTTGGTTGCTTGTTTGCTTGCTTGGTTGGTTGGTTGGTTGGTTGGTTGTTTAGTTGGTTGTTCGGTTGTTCGGTTGTTCGTTGCTTGTTCGGTTGTTGCTTGGTTGCTTGGTTGGTTGGTGTGTTGTGGGGGGGGGGGGGTGGTTTGTTTTGTTTTGTTTTGTTTTGTGTTGTTTTGTTTTGTTTTGGTTGGTTTTGTTTTGGTTGGTTTTTGGTTTTTGGGTGGTTTGGTTAGTTTCGGTTGTTATTTGGTTGGTTAGTTGGTTGGTTGGTTGGCTAGTTGGTTGGTTTGTTGGTTGGTTAGTTGGTTGGTTGTTTGATTGGTTGGTTAGTTGGTTGGTTAGTTGGTTGGTTAGTTGGTTGGTTAGTTGGTTGGTTGGTTAGTTGGTTGGTTAGTTGGTTGGTTGGTTGGTTAGTTGGTTGGTTAGTTGGTTGGTTGGTTGGTTGGTTAGTTGGTTGGTTAGTTGGTTGGTTGGTTGGTTGGTTGGTTGTTCGGTTGTTGCTTGGTTGCTTGCTTGGTTGGTTGGTTGGTTGGTTGTTTGGTTGGTTGTTGGTTGTTCGGTTGTTCGGTTGTTGCTTGGTTGCTTGGTTGGTTGGTTACTGTTGGTTACTGTTGGTTACTGTTGGTTACGGTTGGTTACTGTTGGTTACTGTTGGTTACTGTTGGTTACTGTTGGTCACTGTTGGTTACTGTTGGTTACTGTTGGTTACTGTTGGTCACTGTTGGTTACTGTTGGTTACTGTTGGTTGGTTGTTTGGTTGTTCGGTTGGTTGGATGTTTGTTTGGTTGGTTGTTCGGTTTTTGCTTGGTTGTTTGGATGTTTGTTTGGTTGTGGTTGTGGTTGTGGTTGTGTTTGTTGTGGTTGTAGCGGTTGTTGTGGTTGTTGTGGTTGTTGTGGCTGTTGTGGTTGTTGTTGTTTGGTTGTGGTTGTGGTTGTGGTTGTGGTTGTGGTTGTAGTGGTTGTTGTGGTTGTTGTGGTTGTTGTGGCTGTTGTGGCTGTTGTGGTTGTGGTTCTTGTGGCTGTTGTTGTGGTTGTTGTTGTTGTTGTTGTTGGGTGTTTGTTTGTTTGTTTGTTTGTTTGCGGTTTGTTGTTTGTTTGTTTTTTTGTTTTGTTTTGTTGTATTTGTTTTGTTTGCTTTGTTTTGTTTGTTTGTTTCTTGGTTGGTTGGTTGGTTGGTTGGTTGGTTTGTTGTTTGTTGTTTGTTGTGCCCTCCGACGGGGTGTTCACGCGCAGACACACTGCTGAATGTGCATTTTTTACTGTTTTTTTACAGTGTTTTCTGCTTCTCGACAATGCTGCCCTGGGGGGGGGCAGGAACAACTGTTTCTTCGAGTGATGTTTTCTGCCTTTGTCCATTTGCACTGGTTTTTACAGTGTTTTTCGCGCTTTCGCACTCTTGTTTTTTTGCACCATCTGCGATTTCCCTTGGTTTTACAGTGTTTTCAGGCTTCATGACGTTGCTGCTGCTACGCTGCACATTGGGGTGTGGTGGGGTGGGGCAATCACGTTCATGTGAACTTGATCACGTTGTTGAGGCTTCATCACGTTGCTGATGCTACGCTGCACATTGGGGTGGGGTGGGGTGGGGTAGGGTGGTGTGGGGCAATCACGTTCATGTGAACTTGATCACGCAGTTGTATTTGCACAGGAGTTAGTCGAAGCAGATGGTGCAGCTCATGGGAAACTGAAAAAAAGTGGAGATGTGACCTTTACAAAGAGGAAGTCGCCTGGCAAAGGTTGCAAGAATAAGGCACTGAAAAAAAAAATCTGGTCCAAGAAGGACCAATCTACTTCTCTTGGAAGAGTCCTTGTGATCAAAGGTCGCGAAAGCAAAAAGGTGGTGGTCAAACCTCTGAAATCCAAACCCTTCAAAAAGGGAGGTCCCGGCGCAGGTGAGACAGCTGAAGAATTTTTGCCGCATTTCTGGAAACATTTGAAGCCAAATTCACTCATTGCGTGTTCTGACCCAGGGTCCGGTCTTGGAAAAGCTTGGACGCGTCTAGGCATTCCTGCTGCTACCGCGAAGCACTCCATCGACGAAATGGAAGGAGCAGTCCAGCCAACAATCACATTGATTTGCTGGCCACGAGACGCCTTCTGTTGAAACCAGGCCTGATGACTGTGCTGAAAGTACTGGAGATTTACAGACCCCACAGGCTCGGCACTTTAGGTCGGCATCCTCAGACAGCTTTTTCACAGGAGGACGCTGACTTCTTGCTCAACTAGCCAAACTTCTGACTCACCAAAGATGACAAACCAAGTCGGCCGCGCATGAACAGGCCGTCCGACCGTTGTTGTTTGTTGTTTGTTGTTTGTTGTTTGTTGTTTGTTTGTTTGTTTGTTTGTTTGTTTGTTTCTTTGGTTGGTTGGTTGGTTGGTTGGTTGGTTGGTTGCTTGGTTGCTTGGTTGCTTGGTTGCTTGGTTGCTTGGTTGCTTGTTTGCTTGTTTGCTTGTTTGCTTGTTTGCTTGTTTGCTTGTTTGTTGTTGTTGGTGGTGGTGTCTAGATTCTGTTAATATATATATATATATATGTGTGTGTTGATTAGCACATGTGTTTGTTCTCTGTATTATCGATTATTACCGATCATAATTTTTATATACATATATACGTATACAGTCTATTATTACAATACAACATGCACTAGGCCCCCACATGCTCCACTCAAGAAACCTGGTGTATTTCACCGATGTGGGAATTCTTCGATCAAGGCTGGGATGACCGACGCCGCATTTCTCAGTTCACCTGGGAATCTACTGATCCGACCTCTGAGCAGCAAGCCATCAAAGGTGCTGGGTGCCAGCCAGCAATCTACCACCATCCACCACGAATCGTGGTTCGACGTCTTGAGAAATAGATTTAATTTGTTTGTATGGAATGTTTCACTGTCAAGTCACTTGGTGAAACGTAGCACTTAAGTAAAGGATATTTATGTACATGAGCCACTGCGAAGCCAGACAGTCAGAGAACCAAATCAGGGCTCTGGAAGTAGCAGGGCTACAGGTGGTGAAATACACATTCTTCAGATGTATATCAATGGCTTCATTGATGTGTCATGTGATGTCAACAATCTAGTGATGAACCCAAATGGGAACTGACGAATCTCTGCTTTCAGAAGTGGAGTGTCATCAAGCAGCAATAACACCTGCTGAAATGGGCCAGGTGTCTTTGTGGCAGCCGTTGCTTCCTTGAAAGAGAGCGGCTTTGCCGTGGATCGAGCAATTTCCAGGTTGCGAGAGATGCAAACGGCGAAAGCCTTGGTTGCATTTCGATTTCAGGTCAATTTCGCGGCAGGTGTGAGTGAGCACAGTTAGATACAGTTAGCATGTGCTGTCAATGCTCTCAGAGGGAGTTGACATGATTGGAGCTGCCCTCTCAGGTGACTTTTCAAGAAGCACATCGCCTGAAACATTGTCTTTAGCACTGGACTCCGCAGCGTTGGGGCCGCGCCATTGGTTGCCGGAAAAAGGAACGACTGATGTGAGTTTGTTTGCATATAGAGTAGCACCAATTTTGATGATTTATATTGATTTGATTTGATTTGATTTGATTTGATTTGTCATCATTATTCACTATTGTTGCGTACGGACAGCAACAAAACAATATTGTTTCCGCTCATGGAATATATTTTGTGAAAGTATTGTTTTTTGAGTGTTCAATAAGCCTTTCTGTATTTTTTTGGCCTTGTGATGGAAATGTTTTTCCAGAATTTCCTATATTTTCCACAATATGGCCATTATTCTTCCATGTGATTACTTCATGCGTGTTATTCCTATATCGCTTTTGAGACAAGCTGTAGTTGTGCTAATGGACTCCTGATGCCAGGCGGTGGTTCAAAACCTTGCAGCCAATGTTGCTGCAAACTCGGAACGCCTGAAACCAGCGCGGTCCTTGAGCTGGTACCAGATATGCTATGTTTTTAGGTACCTGGACCCTCCAAAGTACCCTTTAAAATTTGTGTTCCACCCCATAACTGTGATACCTTTACCATTATTTGGGTGTATTTGCAGGGTCCAGGCATGGTGATGTATGGTAATAGATGGTGATGTATGATGATTACTAATAGACTGAAATTATATATATAATTATATATATATACATATTTCCATAGGTTTCCTGTAGTTGAGCGTCGCAAATAGTAGAATAAATGCTTCGTCCCAACCAGCCCGGGCAGCGGTAGAACATCTTAAGGTTCAGAAAAGATGGCAGCAGCAGCCATGGGCATAAACTCGAGATCTGCATAGTATACCTGGGAGCCATATACAACTACAGATCTGTTTAATTCCGGGAATGCCTGAAAAAAATGAGACTATTCTGATTGGTGGTTTGGAACATGTCTTTTACCCATATATTGGGAATAATCATCCCAACTGACGAACTCCATCATTTTTCAGAGGGGTAGGTCAACCACCAACCAGTATTGATAGTGTATAATACTCATCACACCATGTCGACATGTCTTCGTGTTACTTCCAGTGTTGTGTCCGGTGAGGTCCATCTCAGGGCAGAGAAGTTGGTCTGGGAGGCCGACACGGCAGATCGCGGCATTTCCGGGCCTTGATCTGGGAGGTACCCCAAAATGGTAACGGAATATATTAAAATGGATGATTTGGAGGAAACCTCCATTTATGGTCTATATCTAGGATTGATCAATTCTTGTCTAGTTGCTTGTTGTTTTCAATATATGTGACCATTGAATGTATGGTGGCATACCATATGATCCATGTATGGAAATATGAACATGTGTACAACATATGCCCTAAAAATGACGCAAATGTAGAGAAGCTCACCTTATAATATGCATATTATATATATATATATCTGGCAATGTACACCATATTACATATCAACAATTAGTATATCATATAGCATACATGGATACCAAATATCCCGAACCTAATCACTGGTCAGCTTTGATGACATCATCTTCGCATGCTTCGCTCCAGGAGCTTCTTGCCGGAATTTCTCCACCGCCGGTAGAGGCAGTGGTGGTATTAGAGATATGGATAGAGACATTGATAGATGTCGATATGGATGGATATGGATATGTCTCTTAACTAAAGGATTTCTACCACATTGGCTATACCATCCATACGTATCTATTTGTTGGCCACCTATGAGGCATATATTTGTTTGAAATCTGGAAGAACCACGTGATATGTCCCTTGCTGGCTAGACCAAACTGTGATGCCCGGCTTGAGGCAGTAGATTTGCTCATCGGTTCAGATGTGATTTGGGGCAACTCGCCTGCACCTTTCGGATGCTTTCGGAGCTGGGAACGCATGCCACGTTGTGGGAACCGAATCATTTCAACCATATCTAAGGTGATCGAGGAAGCCTGGTCGCTGAGGTAGCTTTGCGATTGGTGAGGCGAGAGAGAACTGCTGGTATAGCCTGCTTCACTCTTTCACTTCCTATCACCTGATCTCCAGTCACTAAGGCAAATTGCATATCGATTGGTTCTAGCTTCAATGGAGAATCATCCATGACCCCGACCAGAAGAAATTGATCCAGTTGACCCTGGGCACTCTTTAGGTGGGGGCTATAAGAGTCTTGGTTTGGGGCAGTTGTCAACTGCCAAGCACCCAGCTGTGCCCAGACCTGGTGGTGCTTTGGTCATCAGCGCTCAAAAGGCTGGCCTCCGTGCCAACGCTGTGCCAAATGGCGTGTCGATCCGCTTATAAAGAAGCTGAGATGCCGCCAAGAACGCTTGAACAAATGCCTAACAAGACATCTAAACCAGGGTTGCTGCCCATGTCATGAATGGTTTGCCCCCGCCCAACAATTGTCTTTACAATGGCGAACCATAAAAAAAAACACGTATTAAACCTCCAGAAGATGGGATATGGTTCCCCCTTTAATTGTTCACTCATTGTTAACAATGAATGACCCACTTAGTAATTAAAACATCTTAAACACTGTCACGATCTATCACAATCTATCATAATCTATCACAATCTATCTCAATCTGTCACAATATCTTTATATATATATATATATTATTATTATTAGTATTATTTTTATATCACATAAAAACAAGTGGGCCATTCTAAAGTCTAGTGGCTTTGTCCTGATTTCTCCATGTCGAGGGGCGTGAGGGCCTAGACATCTTCCAGGAGATGTTGCGTGCGGCGGCCCAAGGAGGAGACACAAAGATGGCTTTGGAGTGAGTTATACCATGTTATACCCATTAAAAATGGTGCTTCAACCAACAAGAATGGTTGTTTAATATGCTCAAAAACCAACAAAAATGGTTCTTTTGACCAACAAAAATGGTGGTCATGATATCTGGGAAATCAGCTGGTGGTGCAGTAGAAGTTGATCTTTCGCGGTTCAGAGTAAATGGGGATATGTATACATATACTGTGTATATATATATTTATAATATATATATATATATACAAAAATAATTATATCTATATATATATATATATGTACCAAACAGCCAACTAAGATTGGCCATATTCTGTCGGATGGTTGGGGTCTTCATTTGTTTGACAGATTGACCTACTAAAAGAAAAACACATTTCAATATTTTTTCTGGCGAAAATGGCACGCTTGTCAAGATCAGGAAGATCTACTACATAGGCATGATTCTTCCAGGGAAGTGCAGAATTTGAAGTTCTGTTGTAGGGATGGCCGAATCGTTCTAGGCAGGCGCTTCGAACATTGGGCATACACTAATTGCCATTGCAATTTGAAGGAAGACGTGGCATTCAGTTGTATTGAGTTGGAGTATACTGTGACTTGAGAAACCACTAGATGAATTCGAACATGCAGCAAACCTCGTAGTTCCTGCAGTTTTCAAAACCAACCTTCCATTTTGCAACTTCTGAAGTCTTGGATTCACAACTATTTGTTGGTAGAACATGTTCCTCATGTCATTTATACAGTGTGTGCCATGCAGCTTTCAAGAGCCTTTCAAGACGTGGCGAGGCTCACCCGTAACATCGGATGCTGGCTTCAAGATTGAGGTGCCCATAGGGATAGGCACTTTTGATCTAAGTCTGGCAGACCATGAAAAGAGCCAACAAAAAGGTGTGTTTCTGTGTTGAATTCAGCTTAGGCATATCTGTATCTGTAGGTGTTTGTTTGAATGTTTAACATGAATATATCAATACCTGTCAAGATCTCCTATGTTGGGTCTCCGATTCTTCTCTGCCAGGTGAAGGAATTGACATACCAGGGAGAGGACGTGATGAATGGATTTGATCTGAATGAGTCTTATGGTGGTTTATGGTGATATAAGGTGTTATTTTATTTCATGAATTTATCATAGTAATTGGCAATTGGTTATTTTTTTATTTGTTGTGTTTTTTTCTGTTGATTTGTTGATTGATGATATTTGTGCGTCTTAGATGGTATACTGTATACTCAATGTCTATGATGTAAAAAAGACATTTGATATCGCTTTATATCATTCATGATGCCATAACATCTGCAGATATGGTTTCATTATGTTTATCTATGATACTTTTATCGTCCAATCTGGGACTTCTTGTACACATAGATCTTTTTACTGGAATCGATTGTTTTGGGTCCAGCATTCCAAGCTTAGATGATGTTACATGCACCTGTGCTGCTCTATGTTAGTCTAAGAACAAATCTACGGGCGGATGACCACGCCCCATTTCAATAGATAGGCATTTTGGAGTATCCAACCCATTTTGAAGGACACCCTTTGAAGAAAGTCACACCAAAGGTGTGGTCAGACTCTGGGAATTTGAGGCCACCCCACCGCGGAACACTGGCTTTTGGTGCGTGGCTGTAGCCTACTGGGCCTACTGTCTTGGGCTGGCCTGAGGTGGAAAGATGGTGTGATTGTACCTTGTCTTGTTCCCGACAACATCCGACAACAAGTGCTTAAGACAGAGGCATTTTGTGGAAGCAAAATAGACGTTGTTTTTTTCAGAGACAAGCTCAGACAGCCTGTCCAGACAGATGATGACATCTCACCTGCCTGTTTTTCCTGCCTGCCCGCCTTACCCACAGAGCGTCCAAGCATACCAACACCTGGACATTCTGCACACCATTGGCCAGGTGTGAGGCAAATGGTCCAGTGTCTTCTGAGTAGCGCGGATGCGCATCCAAACCTTTGGGGTTTGGGTCTCAGAAGCTGGGAGCTTGGGGCCAACCCACTGCGTATGCTCAGTGGATGACAATGACACGATGCGCTAATGTGTCCATTGGGCTCCAAAGAAAGGGATGAAGGGAAACCATCGCGAATCGCGTAGCCCTGGTCCACACTGGCCATTCGCAGGGGAGGCCTTTTGCGATTTGCACAGCAACTTCTCCGCCCGAATGGGCACGTTTGAGTTCCCAATCTCTTGGAAGTTGGTCTATTCTGGTAGCATGTGCGGGGCTGTTCATGTGGGATGTGGGATTTCACAGCCCTCATTTGATGTCTTTCCTGCTCGGCGGTTTAGGATCTCCCTTCGTTTGTCGCAGATTTGACGGTAAAGTTTGAGACAATGTCTTTGTAGGAGTTTCAGATCTTCGTTGGATATCGAGGTTTAGAGGCCAGATGCTGGGGTGTCAATATAGCACTAGCTTGCTGCAGTCTTTTTCATATGTTTTTGAATGACGGTTCACATCAGTTCCCCAAATCTTCTCAGAAACTGACTTTTGATTCGGAACAGCACGTGCTACAGCTTGAGATGAAGATGGATGAGCTTCCAGCCTTCAAGAAGCCTTTGACGTTGTCAATCACCAACTGCGTTGCCATGTTGCAGGTCCATTGCCAACACATCCATAGCCAATACATCCGCGTATACAGTCGCTACAGTGTCCATTGGGATCTCGAGAACGCTGGCTTTTGGTGCGTAGCTGTAGCCTACTGGGCCTACTGTCTTGGGCTGGCCTGAGGTGGAAAGATGGTGTGATTGTACCTTGTCTTGTTCCCGACAACATCCGACAACAAGTGCTTAAGACAGAGGCATTTTGTGGAAGCAAAATAGACGTTGTTTTTTTCAGAGACAAGCTCAGACAGCCTGTCCAGACAGATGATGACACCTCACCTGCCTGTTTTTCCTGCCTGCCCGCCTTACCCACAGAGCGTCCAAGCATACCAACACCTGGACATTCTGCACACCATTGGCCAGGTGTGAGGCAAATGGTCCAGTGTCTTCTGAGTAGCGCGGATGCGCATCCAAACCTTTGGGGTTTGGGTCTCAGAAGCTGGGAGCTTGGGGCCAACCCACTGCGTATGCTCAGTGGATGACAATGACACGATGCGCTAATGTGTCCATTGGGCTCCAAAGAAAGGGATGAAGGGAAACCATCGCGAATCGCGTAGCCCTGGTCCACACTGGCCATTCGCAGGGGAGGCCTTTTGCGATTTGCACAGCAACTTCTCCGCCCGAATGGGCACGTTTGAGTTCCCAATCTCTTGGGAGTTGGTCTATTCTGGTAGCATGTGCGGGGCTGTTCATGTGGGATGTGGGATATCACAGCCCTCATTTGATGTCTTTCCTGCTCGGCGGTTTAGGATCTCCCTTCGTTTGTCGCAGATTTGACGGTAAAGTTTGAGACAATGTCTTTGTAGGAGTTTCAGATCTTCGTTGGATTTCGAGGTTTAGAGGCCAGATGCTGGGGTGTCAATATAGCATTGTTATAGCATACAGTAGTCAGTTTGAGCGCAATTACAGTCTTTTTCATATGTTTTTGAATGACGGTTCACATCAGTTCCCCAAATCTTCTCAGAAACTGACTTTTGATTCGGAACGGCACGTGCTACAGCTTGAGATGAAGATGGATGAGCTTCCAGCCTTCAAGAAGCCTTTGATGTTGTCAATCACCAACTGCATTGCCATGTTGCAGGTCCATTGTCAACACATGCTTGGATATTTTGCTGAAAATGCATGGAAGTCCATTTAGATTTCAAACAATTTCCTGGATTTATGTATAGTTCATGACATTCCATGATATTTCCATGTTATTCTCATTAATTATATTATAGGTAACGATATGGCATAAGAATCAAGCTGCTGCGCTGGAAGATGGATGTACAACAATGTAAAAGTTTAATATATTATATTATATCATATTATATTATATTATATTATATTATATTTGATTATATTAAACTATATTATATATGATTATATTGTATTATATTATATTATATTGTATTGTATTATATAATATTATATAATATATTGTATCATATTATATTATATTATATTATATTATATTTGATTATATTAAACTATATTATATATTATTATATTGTATTATATTATATTATATTGTATTGTATTATATAATATTATATAATATATTGTATCATATTATATTATATTATATTATATGATATTATATTATATTTTATTATATTATATTTTAATAATGTTATATTCTATTATATTATATTATATTATATTGTATTATGTTATATTATATTATATTATATTATATTATGTTATATAATATTATATTATATTATAATACATTATATATTTATATTTTACATATAAATATGTAAATAAAGTGAAAATAATGTAATTTATATAACATAATATATGTATATATATATATATATGACACAGGTATATAGTGTAAAGTGGCTATTTAGCTACTGCCAGGGGTTGTCTTCCCAAATCTTACTGTCGGTTTGTCTCAGAAGAGGGTGAAATTCATTCTGAACTGCAGTTTTCAGCAGATCCTCGCAGATGGGGCTCAAAGTCAGTGGTTCTTCCGGATCCTTAAGGCATTTGAAACCTTCGCATGCTGCACAGCGTGCATGACGCAGGGCACGATCCAGGATTCACGGATATCCTGGCCCCAGCGGCGTCACATCTTTCCCTCAGCACTTGCTCTGAATCGACCTCATCGAAGGCGACCTGCTCGGAGTCATCCGATGAGGACAAGCGACGATCCCAGGAGTCATCCGATGAGGACAAGCGACGATCCCAGAAAATCCGACCTGCCTTTGTGGCCATTGCGGCGTTGATGATATTTCAGGCGGGAGACGGTGGGAGGAGATGGAAATAATATATGGTTGAACATGAAACATCAGAAATGTGACAGGAAGAGGAAAAGGAAGTCAATGGCGGGCATGCTGGCTGGAAACAACAAACGGAGAAAACAGAAGTGACTACCAGGATCTTCTCAAGCTCCAATATCCTCCAATATCCTCCAATATACATTGACTTATTGTGACCTTCTCTCCAAACTCTCCAATCTTTGGTGGTTAGGTGGCCCTGATTTGCTGGGCTTGTGTGCCGATACCACACGAATCTTCGAAGATTTCGATCTTTAGTCCACGAGGAACCTTTGTGACCAACCAAGTGCTCGCAGCCTTCCATTGCTGTTGTGCCCTGGGCTTCTGCTTTATTTGGAGGCGCATGAGTCATGTACCCATGCTGCTCTCCGAACTCCTGGTCTATGTCATGAGTGGCTGGTCATTTTGGCTCCTGGGGGCTGCTTTATCCTTGACGTACTTGCATGGATTTCCAATGGCCATCCAGATCGCAGTGCCATGGCAACTGGATAGACATCTCTTTTTAGTCGAAGGTCTGGATAGACATTGATATGTGTTTGTTTACTTCCAACACAAGAATTATTGGTGCTTCATGTTCAATGAAACACCAATACATACTTTGTTATAATAGTTGTTAACCTTGGAGTTTTCATGTTGTTAACCTCTGAGGTAATGTCTTTGCAAGGATTTAGCTGCGCTTGCATTGAGTTTTGCTTCACCTACTTGCTTCAAATCAGATTGTCCCTCCTGGAGAAAGGATTTGGCTCCTGCATGGGTGTTCAGGCACCCCCACTGCCGCAATGTTCAGCCGGTTACATATATATATATATCCATCCATCCGTCAGTGGCTTTCATTGCTTATTGTTTCACAATTGTGCATTCAGAAAGCATTACAATATAGCAAGGAACGGATCTATGTGACATCCCCAACCTACACCGACCTACACATAGAAATTTCAATTCAATGTTTAATGTTCTAAACTATTTTAGATGCGTAAACTCTCTCTCTATCTCTATAAATCTCTATATTGTTGTGCCAGTTGGAAGGAAAAACCACGACTCGCCGACTTGGCAGGTGACTCGCAGGATTCGCCTCTTCACGATGACCTGTCAACTGACCTTTGTTGGTCTCGGCGCGCACGCTGAAGCCATCAATGCGCAGAAGGAGGGGCAGTTGAGATGAACCAAAACGGATTGATGTTGATTGATCCCCCCCCTTTAGCCCTGGAATATTTGAGGGGGGTGTAGGACAAGAAATTTCTGAGAAATATTTCACCTGACCGCATGAAATATACCCCCCCCATATGTTTTTGGGGCTTCCACAAGGGGGAGGGGATGTTGATTGTGCGTTGAGCCATTTGGTTAAACCAGAGGAACATGTAAATTTCATTATAAATTTCTCCTGCCCCTTCACATGTATTGCCTCCACACACCACACGACTTGTAAGTCTGGTTGGTATCCAGATTGCCTTTACTGTAGGCTTCCAAGTCTTCCCGAAAATAGTTTTGATCATATGTTGATATGTGATATTGGCTAAATTTGGCTAATGTTCATTTTCCCCGTGAAAATTGCATATCTTGAGGGTACCCCACTTAAAGACACACCCTTAGAGTTTAAAGACATGTCTTGAGATTGCCATTGGTACTGCCACCAACTCGCTTGCTGTGGTTACGAAGGCATTGGATTGGTCCTATGCTGCTTTTCATCTTATTGCTGCCGTTGGTGTCACTTGTTTCAGGACAAGATCAATCCAGAATTCAAAAAAACGATATTCCAATCCGGTATTGATCGAAGGAAGTTTAGAAGTCAAACTTCCGACAATATGGACAGATGAAAAGCAGAGCAGGGAAGAGGTAGAGAGAAGAGAAAGAGTAGAAGAGAGATGATCAGAAGAGAAAGAGTCAGAAGAAAGAAGATGCAGATGCGCGAAAAGGTAGGAAAGTCGCGAAACACTATGTTTTTCCAATGAGTGGCTCGCTGTAGGCAGCTGGCCGGAGGCAGCTGGCCGAAGCACAAAGTCCAAGCGCAAAACACCTCAGGAGCGGACACTTTTGGAAGTTAAGATGTCGAAAAAGTGCACGCCGTTGTGGCGCGAAGCACATTTCAAAGTGAAAATGTACAAAACACACCAGCTTCGGACCACTTTTTGCAGTTGCGATGTCGAAAAAGTGCACGCCGTTGTGGCGCGAAGCACATTTCCAAGTCAAAATGTACAAAACACACCATGCTCGGACCACTTTTGGAAGTTGACTTTAGAAAACGTGCGCGCCGTTGTGGCGCGAAGCACATTTCCAAGTCAAAATGTACAAAACACACCATGCTCGGACCACTTTTGGAAGTTGAGTTGTCGAAAAAGTCAACGCCGTTGGAAGTCAAAAGTGTTAAAAACTGACGGTCTCGGACCACTTTTGGAAGTTGAGTTTCGAAAAAGTGCACGCCGTTGTGGCGCGAAGCACATTTTCAAGTCAAAATGCACAAAGCACACCATGCTCGGACCACTTTTGGAAGTTGAGTTTAGAAAAAGTGCACGCTGTTGTGGCGCGAAGCACATTTCCAAGTGAAAATGTACAAAACACACCATGCTCGGACCACTTTTGGAAGTTGAGTTTGCGAAAAAGTGCACGCCGTTGTGGCGCGAAGCACATTTCCAAGTGAAAATGTACAAAGCACACCATGCTCGGACCACTTTTGGATGTTGAGATGCCTTCACTACACTACACTACACTACTTCACCGTGTTAAGCTAGATAGATAGATAGCTAGATAGCTAGATAGATAGATAGATAGATGGATAGATGGATAGCTAGATAGATCGATGGATGGCTGGAAGAAGAGAGAGACGGACAGATGCATGGATGAATCGATAGAGAAACAGAACGAAGAACATGGTGATGGATACCTGTGGACACGGATGAAGAGATGGACGGAAAAAAAATAACAGAGAGAAGTAACTGCATGGATGCATGGCTGGATAGACAGAAAGATGGAGAGTTTAATAGTTAGGTGAATAAACAAATCGAACGATAGCTACATGAATAGACAGGTAGATAGGTAGATGGCTAGAAAGGTAACTCTGTAGATAGATGGCGAAAGAGAGAGACAGAGAGAAAGAGAGAAAGAGAGACAGAAAGGGAGAAACACTCAACCACCTTTCAATCCATCAGTGTGTTCGCTCTGCCATTTTTGCGCCACAGCAACTCACCTCTCCTATAGGTTTTTCATTTTTAAACTTCCGCCACCGCCTTGTGCGGTACTACTGGTATTGGATATATTGTGGGAAATATATTAGAATATCGTGAAATATAAATATCAATCCCCTCTTTCAGCAGAAAACATCGTTGTATCATGCTTGATCAATACTGGGGGGATTCATTTGCGTTTGGATACACAGGGATCTGTTGTGTCCTATCTTTGGCATCATCCCTCCAGTTCGAACGATGCTCCAGGTCCAGACGCCCTCGAAAGGTGCTAAAATCGCTGTTACCCTCTGGTTGTGACTAACATAGCCATGGTATAGATGGCCCATAGAAATAGATGGTTTACCTAGCTATAAAATGGTGGATCTTTCCATGGCGAACTGTTCAATAACCAGCTGGTAGTTTTGGATACGAGTGCCAAAAACAGCTTTGACAGCACACATTTTAGTCCATCCTTGAACTATATACCACAGCAGCTTCCCCCACTGATAGACTGATAGCGCCCAATGACAGCGGAGTAGAACTGCTGAGGTCCTTGGAATTTTGATCGTCTCAGCAAAGGCCATCTTATCGTTGACCAACGCCATGAGAGAAGTGCCGGTTCCCAAACAGAGCTTTGCAAAGTTGGAGAAGGACCGGTGACACCAAAGAATTTCAGACATGTGCATCAATGAATTTGCTATGGCTGGATGCACACCTGAGTGGTGCCTTGAAGGAATATTGCATGTTCCAAGAAGTAGTGTAATGCCAGAATCTCCCCAATTTTGTGAGCGATCACCCAGATTTGAGTCCAAGCCACGGAGCCAGATGGCTGCAGGACTGGTCGCTGAATGTGTTGAAGAGAATGGCTGCAGCTGTCCTGGTCTCTGGATCTGTCAGCATCGCATCTCACTTGTTCTGCATGCATGCGATTCTCTTGGTACATGGTGGTTTTCGACCACTGCTTGGCTCCCAAGCTGACATTGAAAGAGTTAGAATTTCGAGGTTCTCCTGCTTCAAAGCTTGGAGGTCTTGCTCGGAGTCATGGGGCCAACATTGTAAATTTCACCAACAATCCTTTTGGATTTCACAATCCTCAGGTACAGCCTACCATGTGGCCGACATCGTTGCCGAATTGGCCGGTTTGGTCTTCATCGTGGGCATCTTGCGGCCGGAGATGCCGGATCTGCTACCGCCAGAGGCGCGCTCCATGCGTGGTGCCTCCCGACTGCTGGAGGAATGCTCCTCCGAAAGCGTCCTTTGGAACGCCAAAGTGCAGGAGAGTTCGGCCTGTGTTGTGCAATGGTTTGTACCCTCAAAATTACTGTTTTAAAGCAATTATATTTTATTACAGCATATATAAATAATAGTTAATTATATATAATTAGATCTTTTCATCCGGAAAATGATGATGAATCAGTGGTGTATCTAAAAGCTGGTTTCGGTCTCTTGATCAACACCTGGAAGTAAGAAATGGCTCTTAGGGCCTTCCTATGAAGGAGCTGGCGCATCGCAGCATTGATCTGGAGAGCCTGTTGGATTTCTACGAGAAACTTGGATCGGAGGTGATGAAGCACTTTGATCCGCAGGTCTCAACCACCGCGGATGTGGTTCGACAGGCGGTGATTCCTCTTTCGCGCGTGGGCAACGGTGGAGTGGCTTACACAGACTACCTGGTGATGGCAGGCAAACCAAGCAGACAGATGCCGGACTGCATGGTGACTCACACATGGTCTAGTTTGTTTCTCCACTTGGTGGCGGCAGTGGTGTCTGACGCATTAGAACTTGATGAATACCACTATATAGCAGCGAAGATCAGTGAGGGCAAGCTGGCGACAATCAGACACAGGCTGGTAGAGAAGGGTGTGCTGCAGAACCGCTACTGGATTTGCTGCTTTTGCGTGAATCAACACGCCAGCATTTGCAACGGTGTAGGCAAGGCTCCTGGCGACCCAGCGGCTCTTGCACGTTGGGAACGGAATCGGCGAGACACCGCGACAGGACATTTGCTCAGCTTCTGCACATGCTCAGAGCCCAAGGTGTTGAACGATCAGCCAGACAGGTGTGAGTTGAACAAGTTCCACGTGATGATGTTGTGGTTGCAACGATCCAACCCGAAGTTTCGTCAACTCGTCGCAGTGGATTGTGATTTTTCGGTCTTTGAGCGCGCCTGGTGTGTCGCCGAGCTGGTGGCGGCGCACAATGCAAAGATGCCTCAAAGTGTGTCTGCGCAAGAAAGACAAAACAGTTTTGTTGTTACACCCGTAAAAAAAGAGGGGAAACAGTTAACTTTGAGTGGTTGCTACTTGTTTCACCCGAAAGAATGTAATTAATTATTCATCGGGATGACCTCTATTAATTTCTTATCTTATCCTTTTTTGATGTTTTTATGGCCCCTTCAGGTATGAAAAAATCGGCTACCGCCAAAGGTGTTTTTTGTTTAAGCGTAGTTTTTACGGAATAATACATAAATCAGAACGCAATTGAACGCAGTCTGAACGTAATGGAACGCAATCTGAACGGAGAACGGTTTCGCACGGGAAACAACGTACATATTACGATCTTTAAAGTCTTTGTCATGAACCTGAACGGTCTTGAATGCTTCATTAGTGGTTTGCTGTGGTTTTGTTAAATAGGCATATTTTCCCCAAGAAAAAATTGTAACGGTTTTTTATCGGCTGTGAGAATTATTATTCTCCAAAACAACGAGTATACTAATCATAATATAATAAATTAAATATTTTCAAGGTGTAACAGTTATGTACCGTTGGGTTTGCCTTTGGTCGATTTCCTTTTTCATTGCTGTCTCACGCATCTGCACAAGTAGACTTTGCAGAGTAGTAAACGGCAGCATGCTGTTTGTCCAGGAGATACTCGGAACATCCCCTCATGGCCCCAGCAAAACCCAGCAGTGGAAAGTGAGTGCAACCCTAAGATGCAGTCGCCCTAAAAGACAAAGGCGCGAGGCGCTACAGAAATCCCGGCCCCTCTCGGCCTGTAAGACCGGATCATTGATAGGGATAGTTGCACCGCCTCAATTTGTTGTACACCTACAGAAAGCTATGTGAAGAATGGTGACAACTGGCAACCAAGGGAGCAGCGGAGGCGAGGCTTTGCACCTTATGATTCTTTAGCTTTAAAACTGTGGGTTCCAACTTGAATTAGAAACATGATGCCGTAATCCAAACTGGGGAACGGCAATTAATAGTTGCTGTGACGTCTTGTGAATATACTGGTTGTCAAACAGTCAGACAAGTCATCACAAATCCACTAGTCCCATCCCCCGATACTAAACACATCTAAACACCCCATTCTACGGTCCCAAACATGTGGTTTCATCATGTTTCATCCCCTTGTAAACCATGCTTTCTTGGGCATGTAACTCATATTGAACGGGGGAAGAAATTACCCCACTCCAACAGCCACTATGGCGCTACGAGGTATGCCTAAGATGCAACAAAGCCTTTGACCTCGACGCCGAAGATCTGTCGATCTACGGGAAGCTCACGAATCTCTCCGTGGCCAATAGCCTGTCCTCAAGACCCGAAGACAAAGAGATGGTCAACTTGGCCTTGTCGACTTGTGTGTGTGTCCAAAGATGGATGAGAATGACATGGTACACCCCAAAAGATTGCCATGATTATATGATTGTAGGTTGATGAACCTGCGGAGTTTGGGGACACTATTCAGACAACTTGGGTGTGTCAAACTTTGGGTGCCACGCACGAACAGTATTTGGTGGTGCAGTTGGGATGAGATTTATGCTAGTATAACAATGATGTTGTAACTCCCACAAGTTCGGATATTCCCATACATGTTATTATTTAATTTAGAACTTGGAACCGCATTCCCAAGTACACTACACCCCAAAGCAACCCCACTGTGAGATACTGTGAATGGTTTTGGCAACTTTTGCGACTCAATGCTTTTGAACCATGTAGGTGTGATGATCATACCAATCGTAGGTTGTACAGGCACAAAATCACGGTGTTGTCCAATCGTTCGAGATCGAAGTGAAGGCCTTGGAACACCTTCTGCTGCCTGGGGGCACCTTCAAAGTAAGCGAGCGTTCAAACTGTTGGGAGAATACATGAGAAAATTAGAGAAAAGTTCGTTAAGTAAGTTGAGTAGGAAGAAAATAAAAGAAAATCATAGAACTACTGGTTGAGTGTGGGGTACTCCGTAATTTTGCTAGGGTTTCTTCATAGGCCTCATAAGATCAACACTTGTCACTTTCGAGGTCTTGTCGCAGATCTCCAGTGTGCCAGCCTTTGATGCAGAGTTGCAATTGCTGATCTTCGGCAATCGAGGCATTGTGGAGTGTTGCTGTGGTGCTGTGGTGTTTTTTTCTTGGAAAAAAAGGGATATGCATGACCTCACTGTGACCTCACTGGAATCATGATGAATGTAGGGGAATCATCCCCAAATGGCCCAGTTAAATATTATGATTTACCAGGATATGATCAAAGACTAAGGGGGTATAGGTCAAAACTTGAGTACCAATGGAGCTAGATGGACACCATCCATCTTTGTCCATTCATAGGGTGCAATAGTTTTGATCCATACCCAAATTGCCAAATTGGCTTCCATTTTGCCTATTGCAAAGTCATGGCAAGTAGTTCAGTTTGGCATGACAGAGATGTTGCGTAGATCGTGACAGTTGACGCATCATGAGTCATGACACATCCCTATGCCCTAGTGCTCCAAGTATCTTCTGACGTGTTAAAGCACCCAAAAACATCACCAGTTTTTGACCAGTCTCAGAAGGGCGGAGCTGTAGAGCCGGCAGGTCTCCTGAAACAGAAGTTCTTTGGCTTTGACAGCCTGATTCCAGCAGCCAGAACGGCTCGCAGGCTTTGTAGGATTGCAACGCAGAACAATATTGTATAGATTTGCAACGATTTGTATGTACCTGGACCTTCCATCAAAGTAAACATGGTGTTTTAAGTTACAACTGTTTTCCCGCTATACCCGCTTTACCCGACAAGTCTAGTACTAAGTTTTTTTTTAAAGGTTACTTTGAGTGTCTTTGGATGCACGGAAGGCATATTTTCAGGTGTGAAAAACGTTAAGAGGCATTGGCAACCGGCAAAATACAGGGGGAGACCACTAGTTGTCAGATCTCGCATCCAGCAGGCTGAAATAGGAATGTCAATAGGAATTGGGATATCCTTATCTTATATTATACAATACTTATTATAATTTATACATGTTTCTCTTCTTCCAAGTGTTTGGCTTTGATATCCACTAAATTCACCAAAATCAGTTGGAAGATCCCTTGAAAAATGCCAGGCTTCGTGTCGCCGTTGTTGTTTCCGTTTCAAGTTTTCAATCGCTGCAGTGGTTGCCGCTCGCGTTTTCTGGCAGCCACTCCGGCCGGAGGTGAACTCACCAGAGATGAGACATCTCCCTTCGATGGCCAGAGTTCATCGAACAGCCTGGGCGAAGCAACAGTTGAATGAGGGAAGTAGCCATCTTAAGCCATCTTAAGCCATCTTAAAAACATGGGAAAATGATCATCAGAGGTTTTTTTGGCAAGTTGTTACTCGTGATTGGTGAATTCCCGTTCATGATGGTGGGATGAAAAAAACGCATAATTTATCATATATGCAATGTTTTGACCATGTTTGTGTGGGATTACAAGGTACTGCTACTATCATGCAACACCATGCAGTGTGGCGATGTGAATCACATACAGACATGTACGGGCACGTATGAACATGGGCAAAGGTGCAAGCAAGCAAGTGCTAGTAAGAATGCAGTCTAGCGTATGCAGTGTTTGCCACTGTCCATGGTTCCATGGTTCCCTTCTATGTGTTCCTTGTTCTACTTTCCGACTCTAGAGTCCGCAGTATCATGCGAGATGTTGTATCCCGATGCAATATAGATCAACATGGTGCAAAGCGGTAGCACACGATTTTGGGATATTTTGGGACTCCCGATCGATCCATATTCAACATCGTCTTTTTTCAGGATACGAGGCACAAAAAACGACCAGATTTTGGGATTTTGTTTGTCGCATCCATCTTGATCAGCAATCTCAAGCCTGTCTCAATGAACTTTGCAGCTTTGCGATCTGCAAAATCCGCCACTCACCGAAAGTTTGGTGAGACAGGTGGTCTTCCAACCGCCCCTTTTTGCCGTGCGGAACATTTTGGACAGGGCTTCATGCCGGGATTTGCATCAGCAAAAAGGAGAAAGGTGTGCTGCGGTGCCACATCTCAAACGTGCTGCTTTGGCTTCATTCAAGGCCCATCATTCTGGCCAAAATGATAATGATATCAAGAGCTTAAAGGACCGTTGAGTGAAGGGCCAGTCGGTTTTGGAGTGATATTGGCGTGATAAATCTTGCATCATTGGCCAGGTGCAACCATCTGCAGCCGCTGCTCCAGATGTTTAGAATTGAAGCATGGAAAAGAAGCAGTTTCAGCCAACTCCAGTTGAGAAATGGGGGAAAGACGAGCCCCCACCCCAACAGCACGTTTGATTAAAGATATACGATTTATATTGGGATAGGGATACATTTGGAACATAGGGCAGCAGTCAGTAAGGCAATTGCGATGTCTAACATATCTTCCAAATGGGGAGCCAAACAGCGCCAGATTCCGTCAAAACTACTGGGTGGACGAGGGCCAGATTGGAATCCTGCTCAAAACTCCAAGACGCATGGGCAAAGGTCGGCACTGCACGGGCCTTTAAGTTTGAGCCTCTACCCGCAGCATGGCTCTCTTTACAACACTGATGCATGCTGATGTGAAATACTCCAGCCACAGAAACCATGTTGGTCAATCGAAAATCAAATTCCACAGTCCCTACCTGAAGTTATACTCTCTGCGTATGACATCTCATCCGACCAAGATCAAGTCTATCAAGTCTTCATCTCCATATTTTCCGCATGATCACTGTCATCATTTTCCGAAGAAATCGCGGCATTTTCTTCGCTTCTTTGAGCACCTCTTCAAAGGCACGGTACGGCACTCGGGCTAAATGGAGGTGTTGTGGGGAGGCTCCATTTACATCTCCCTTAAACGATGTATAGATGTCAGAAGGTATAACGAATGTAAGGTGACAACATGTGACAACAGAACCGGAAGTTAAGAAACAGAAACCGGTGGTTGTTCCTCAGATATCTCAGATGATATGTTTTTGTAAAGAGAATCTATTTACATCTTCTATGGCTTTATGTATCTAATATTTGGTTGCTCAGTGGTTCTGTTCCACCATCTGCCTCGAGGTGACACCTGGCTGAAGAAATGGATTGGCAAGGTGAAACAGCCTGGTGTCCTTCTCAGAAAACAGCCAGTGAAATGCATGTCGCATGATGGAACTGAGGGGTGTTCAGCGTTCCTTCTAAACGCCTTTTTTGATGAAATACAGCGAAATAGAAAAAACAGTTTGATAACCTCGGCATCCAATGTTTTCCATGCTTGTTTCATCTATGCCCGGCAGTTGTAAGTTGGTTTCTAATCTTGTGACGCCATCTAACTACTGGTATATCCACCATCCTCGGGGGCTCAGGATGTGGGATTCAGACTACGGCTGGGCACCATGCGATGCCAGGTGTGGCACGGTGAAGTTTGGGGTTTGTAGGTGAACACACTGTGGGATCACATGGCAGAAATCCATCCCCTGGCGCTCAATGGGCACAGCTAGAGATGGAGGATTTTCCATTGGCATGGTTGGACTAGTAGGGTATAGCAAATCGTGGTTATCAAGAGACTTCGTGCATTTCAATTCAGGTTGATACACGTATATTTAGAATTATTTACAAATACATAAAAATAGTATAATGTCAATATATATATAATAATCATAATCAGAAGATGAAGAAGAGTAGATATTTAAAATTAAAAAATGAAATAGTCGTTATAACAATAATTAACAATAACAAGAATCATAACAATAATGATAATATATATATATATTATAGAAATGCTACTGTATGTAATGTATGTATGTATGTATGTATGTGTATGTATGTATGTATGTATGTATGTATGTATGTATGTATGTATGTATGTATGTATGTATGTATGTATGTTGTATGTATGTTGTATGTATGTATGTATGTATGTATGTATGTATGTATGTATGTATGTATGTATGTATGTATGTATGTATGTATGTATGTATGTATGTATGTATGTATGTATGTATGTATGTATGTATGTATGTATATATACATATATATATATACATATATATATATATGTTTTGAGGATATGCTGTCACTTTTGCTTTCAGGACTAATGCTTCCCGCATTGGTGCGGGCGTCAGAACTGATGCTGTCGCTGTTGAGTTCTTGAGTCGGTCATGTTGGAATCGAATTCAGTCGTGGCATTTCCAAATCGAATGATTCCAATACCAATTTCGAATAATTACCGTAATCATGTGTCATTTTGATTTTGGTAGTCTTATGCAATTATAGCACTACGTTTTTCATAACATGCCTATAGTCGTTAATCTTAGATGTTGATGCCAATCCCACTCCACTGGTGGAATCTTCTGCGGGTTCTTTCCCTTCGCCATCCCAGGTGGATACGAACAGATGAACAACTTGCAGGGATGGAAGTATCACGAGGTCGCCATTTGAGAGTTGCGATATGTTGCCAAACTCGAATGGTTTTGTCCATGGAATAAAGAACTGCAGCTGAAAAGTGGAAGGCAACAAGGGTTGGGAACATACTATACGGGTTGGTGGTTTGGAACATTTTTTTCTTTTCCGTTTCATATATGGGGTCATCATCCCAACTGACGAAGTCATATTTTTCAGAGGGGTAGGTCAACCACCAACGGCATGGACTCCCAGGGTTTTCACCTATGGCTGGTTTGCCCCACCTCCCAACACGCCCAGGCCGTGCACTACCACTACCAGCCTTGGCAGGTGAATGGATTCTGCTGGGAAACCACGTGGCAGAATCTGATTCCAAACGGTTTTTTTTGGGGGCCAATGAACAAGATGCTGGGACCAATGGAACTACTCCAAGAAGATGGTCGATGTTTTGGTGGTAAATCATCCTGAAACCCCGGTATACAATGCTGAGAATTTTGGGCACCGGCCCCTGATGTTCAGACAAAAACATATTTTTGCCAAAGCAGATCCCTACAACCTTAAGTTGCTGTGCGAGGCAAAGACTCGCTCTATGGACCCACCGGTGGTGCAACTCAGGCAAGGCGTCAAAGTCTTGCTGAGAAGCTTCTGTTTTTGAACAGCAACCTCAACATGCTGTGTTTCACGATGAGATGTGTAGGTGTAGATACTTCAGATACCCTTTGGTAAACAAACATAGCTATTAAACATGGTGATGTTCCATAGTTGTGTAAACGTTTACCAAGAGGGTATCTTAGGATAAGGAGTTTCAGCTTTCTACATGTGTTGGGCTGTCCTTAGATCAATGACAGGCCGGCGTCCTCGTTGTTTTTCTCCGAAGGCCTGGGACCTGACAAGTCGCGCGCAAGCGAGGTTTGTAAGGTGCTATAGGCTATAGCCAATTATAATGTGGAGATATTCATATATTCATTCATTCATATATAATCATTTATATATAATCACGAAAGCTAGCGTCAGCTAGCTGGAGTCTTCTTGCTTTAGCAAGTATTCCGGGGGCTGCTCAAGGACATCACGTGATTTTTCACGCGAAAGGGGGGGCCCCCCAACCCCACCACCATCACCATCATCAGCATCATCGTCATCATCGTCATCGTCATCGGTTTCGTCATCGTCATCGTCATTGGCATCGTTCTCGTCATCGTGATCATCATCATCATCATCATCATCATGATCATGATCATCATCATCATCATGAGCATCATCATCATCATCACCTCATCATCATCATCATCATCATCCTCCTCATCATCATCCCGATCATCTGCCGCATCCGCTTCAT